TACTGTTTATGCTCTAAAAACATTCTGCCTCGGGCACCATAGACCTCCATTATTTGAATGTCAGCAGACAGCAAGAAGCCTCCCAGATCTCCAGATGCATTTGAGATATCAAAAAAGTACTCCAGAGTGTTGTTCAGCATGGGGGTGAGTAGAAAATGAAGGCTAATCATGTTTTGGGTGTACTATTCCTTTAAAGGGTATTTAGATTTACTTGGTAATATCCATCTTTTTGCATTCAGTCTTTGAAAATGTTGGAACTTATTGGTAAAATAATAAATATTTTGCATACAGACCCTAAGAATTGTAATGGATGCTTAATAAAAGTGATTCAAATAAACCACAAGCCTTTCTGCTGCAGGTTCTGTGGTAGTGTGGCCCCTCCAACGCTCAACACCAACAGCAGTACCGCGTGGGTCACCTTCCACTCTGACGGCAGCATCGGCGGTAACGGCTTTGCTGCACAGTACAGAGCTGTCCTGCCCGCACAAAGTCAGTCCTGGGTGTATATGCAAGCTTATATTTATTTATACTATCACATTATCATCTTTTGTGTTTTCACATAGAGAGCTGCAGCAGTGAAGAGTTCATGTGCGACGGAGGCCGCTGCCTTCTGCCCGTGTCTGTGTGTGATGGTCACCCAAACTGTAACGACCAAACAGATGAGGCGTACTGCAGCCAGAAGAAGAAAGGTGGAAACATAAAAGCTGTTAGGAAGGAAACAGGGATGTTCATGGAGAACACACAAGTGACCATTGCTGTTTTTCAGAATGTGGAGGCCAGAAGTCTGGAAACTATGGGTACCTGGCAAGTCCAAATCACCCCAGGCCTTATCCTCATCAACTGGTACTACTGGAAAGACTGGCTGCTACCAAAGAAAAACACTCAACTGCTGATAAATGAAAAAGCAACGTCATCTTTGTTTTCTAGTTGTGCATGTGGTATATATCTGTGGACGAGGGTCACGTCATCAACCTGAGCTTCAGAAACTTTAGCCTGGAAACCCAGGATGTGTGTGAGTTTGACTATGTTGAAGTTCATGACGGCGGCAGCATTGGAGCCGGGAGGGTTTTAGGAAGGTAAGGTCGACACAGTCCGTTAGAAACTATAGAAACGTTTGTCTGAGCTCCATAAGTAGAGATAAAGCAGCTGCTGTGCGTTGCTGATAGGTACTGTGGCACCACCTTCCCACCAGACCTCACCTCCTCAGGCTCCCACATGACAGTGGTGCTTGTCGCTGATGAGGGTGTGGCCGACAGCGGCTTTAACGCCACATACCAGGCCATCTCTGTGCTGAACAGTGAGTTCTCAGCTTTTAGAAAGTTACTGATTTACTTCTCACTCCCCCTCTATCTTTTTTATCCCCATGATTCTCAGATTGGTCAAAAGAAGACAAGATGATGCTTATTTATATAAGTTCCTGACAAATATACCAACGACACAAAACTCCAGCAGTCCTTCATCGGGCTGTGCAAGTGGAATCAAAAGAGGTTAATTCTATTAATATGAATGAAATCGGCCTCTGGTTTAGATTGAGGAATTGTAACTATGATCTGGGTCTGTTCTGCATTTGGCAAAAAGAAAATAATTACAGTGTCTTGCAAAAGTATGAATTTCCTGTTAGGGATTTTAATGTTAAATCAACACAAAATAGTGCATAAAACATTGATTGGTTTTACTCAATACACCAAAAAGCGACAAAATAAGATTTATCAAGAGCTATAATATAGATTTTATAATTATTGAAAGTCTCTGAAATGAAACAAAAAAAAATTCTATTTTTATGAATTTAGAAGAAAAATTATTGAACTCAAGCACTAAATATACTAATCGGTTTTGTAGAATGAGTCAGGCTAAGTGAGGGACAGTTAAAAGATTAAGAAAAATAGTTATAAACCACATACATTAGACAGTCTATCCGGATATTGCATGAAAACTTAAAGAAAAAGGGCTGAGCAATCATTAGAATATGTAACCTCAAACCTCTGTGTTACTCCCTTGTATTTTTTATTTTTTTTTATTTCTTATTTTTATTCTTTTTTTTATTTTATTTTTCTTATTCCTAATGCAACTTTTCCTCCTTGTTTGCACCTTCTTTAATTACTAGGCCAATATGTGACCAGTGAATTTCTCCTCTGTGAGATCAATGAAGCTCATCTAATCTAATCTAATCTAATCTAATTCAATTTATTAAAACGCAATTATCTAATCGCAGAAGCACTCAATTTTGGTAACATTATATTTAACAACAGTAAAAAACTGCATTTCTCTCTCCAGCCCTTAAGGTGGCTGTACGACACCAACAGTGGGTTTACCGCCACATAGAAAGAGAGCTGCAACTAGCATGCAGATCCATGCATGCAAATAGAAATAAACACTTTTCTATACAAAGGTTACACTAAAGTCCTGCAACAATGGACTCTGGAAAAATACATTTTAAAAGTCATGAAAAATTGAAACTCTGTGTGAAACAGCTCCATGCTTCTGATTGGTGCAAAGGAAAATTGAAATAAAATCACAATAGTGGTTAAAAATAATTGCAATTTTGATTTTTGGCTAAATTGTTGAGCCTTAACACTTTAAAGCCTGATCCAAGAATAAAACAAAACAGAAAATTACTTCTTTTTTTTTTTTTTTTGAATTCCTTATTTGCCCTTTTAACAAAATATGTAAAAAGAAAAAACAGAAATACATTTTAGATATTAATAATTTATTACTATGCGATAAGTCAAGATTATTTTTTGTGTAGTCTTCTACTGGCTATTATCAGGTATATCTGATTGTGTACAATAGGATTTTGAGCAAAGTTTTTACCATTAAATTATGTAAAAGGTGTCAGATGCAAAACATTTCAGAAACCGTATGTATCAAATACGATACATTTGTCATTATAGCGTTAAAAAGAACCCTTTTTCATTGCCTTAAAAGTCATTTCTTATTCTGCCCCGTTTAAAGTCACGATAAACTGAAGAGAATAAAACATAAATAGGCCAATTTGGGTTTCAACCTACGTGGAAAACACAATTCATACCAAGGAACTAAATCTGCACACAGCATTCCCTTGGTTTCCTATGGTGATGGCAGTATCATGCTATGGGGAGGTGTTTCAACAGCACAGCCAGGATTTTTTTAGGGCTTAAAAACAGGAAAATTCTAATAGAAAACCTGTTAGTGGCAACAAAGACAAAAGCCTGGGGCTAAACATATGACTAGAGGTATAAAGGCATACATTTTAACTCAAAACAAAATTGTTGTTCAGAACCAAGATAAGATTTACAACCAAAAAATAACACAAGAATGTCAGTCTAAACTGTAGGCAATACATCTGTAGTTGTTAAAATTGATGCAATATACAAACCCCTTTTGAAATATCTCACCATTAATTTTAAATCCACAGCCACAATTGAATCAAGGAATTAAGTTCTAATATAAAATATTATTTTCTGGACATATGACTCTGAAGAAGCCTAAGCACAGGTTGCCATGCCAACCTTTGCTTTCTGTTTTCCTCTAACAGAAACATGCCGCCCTGATGAGTTTTCCTGCAGCACAGGGGTGTGTCTCCACCAGCAGCTGCTGTGTGACGGCTGGAACGACTGCCCAGATGGAGCTGATGAGCAGAGCTGTGGTAACTCCACCTACCCTCCTTTCAGTAAGTCCATCTTATCGCTGACCTCAATCAAGAAGGGATGCAGGGTTTTTTTTTTGTCTATTGCTATTGAGAAGTTGACATAGGAGACAATCTATTGTTCACATTAAGGCAAAGGAAAGAGACGTAGCTCAGATTAAAAAAAGATGCCCCAGTTTAAAGGAACTTCAGCTCCTTTATTGTTGAATGAATTTGCCTAATGTTCTTCTGCTGTTTGTTTCTGAATAATGAAACCAGCTTCCTCGTGTGAGATCATAGAGGTGGAGATGTGTCAGGGCCTCAGTTACAACATCACCTCATTCCCCAACATATGGATGTCCATCTCTGACCAGAGGGAGGCTGCCACACTTCTAAGACAATACAGGGTAAAGTTTCCCTCCAAAATGTTGGCCTAACTCTACCTCCACCATGATTATCAGGTTTTACTCTCCTTTATGGCCAGGTGCTAATGGAGATGGCATGCTTCGAGCCGCTACGGAAGCTGGCGTGCGGGATGTTCCTTCCTCAGTGCAGCCCTCAGGGTGGCGTCCTGCAGCCCTGCCGCTCGGTCTGCTCCTCTGCAGAGCAGCAGTGCAGCCGGGCCTTAGACCTCCTCTCCTTTAGCTGGCCTTTCAACTGCCACCTCTTACCAGACTCAGAAGACCCTGTGGAGTGCTCCCAACCTTAAACCTGTTACTGCAAAAACTCATTACTGCATTCATTCTTTAAAATTTAACATTCAAATTTAATTTTCGCACTTTTATCCCCCTTAAAGACAGACTAAAGCTGCAAAACTATGGAATAAATTTTGATTATTGTTGCAAGCAAAGAACATATTTTGTAAAGGGGAATTTGAAACAGTCGATTAAAACTGAAAAACATTTCAAACGTCGGATAGTTTCATAAAATTGCAATCTTTTCAATCAACATTCTCTTTATTTCAGGCCCCTATAACAGATAAGCTTAGAAAAGCTTGCTTGACGCTCATGTTGACCAGTGGAACTTTGCTACTTCCTCCAGAGGAAAGCCCAGAACGAAAAGCGAATACAATCTTTAAAACACAATTTGGGAAGAATGCAATTCATAAAACACAAATATTTAAAGAGACATTTGAGGTTTTTCAAATCATTGATTTTTGGATTACATTTTTATTTATAAAAACTTGCTCTTTACTTGCAACAATAAGGGAACACAATTCCCCCCATAATTTCGCTCAAGAACAAAAAAGCTATTTAAAGTGAAACTTTAAACCTTTTAAAATAATAGATCCAAAAGTCACATTACATGTCTACAGAAATATTAAACTGACTTTTTCCTTATTTATTGTTTTCGTGTCAGTACTGTAAAAATTTAAAAGCCATAATGGGAACAAAAGTTGCTTTAAAAATCATCTTTATTACATTGTTCCAGTTATAAAACACTGATTATTTAGGCTTTAATATCAGTCTGGGTTCAATCAAGAAGGAAATAATGAGGTTAACATGATCAAAGGCAATCATTGGGCTCTTTTTTATAGATGTGCTTGTTTCAATATACAGGACTTCATAAAAAAATATCGACTCCTTCAATTTATTAGTTTGAAAAAAAAAAACACCAGAAAAGGAAAGTTTAAACTGTCATTTTCTTCAGTAAGTTTAGCAAAACCTGGCAGAGCTCTCTAATCAAAATAGATCATTATATGTTCAGCCAATACAAAGTAAACAATAAAACACAACAGGAAATGGATAACTATAAATCTGAGGAAGTGAAAGAAAATTTTTCACTTATTATTCACGTTTGCTACACAGGAAAACGTGTTCAAGCACTGAACACCTCAGTAACAGAGCTGTATGGAGGTATAATGAGTTTCAGAGTGTTGTCCAGTGCGACTGCAGTCAGACCCCACACCCGATGCTTCCCGTTCCGAAACACTGGAAGGGTGTATCCGTACTTGTCACCGGTACGGAAGTTTGTGTAGCCGCGGTTCTGGGAATTGCACAGGTGCGATAAGGACAAGGTGAAGATCTCGTCCACCTGGAAAACAAATCAAATTTGCGGATATTTTCCAACATGAAACCAAACTATTACACCTGATATTACTGGGTCAAATCATGATAAAAAGAAAACAACAGATTGTGTTGCATATCTGACTGTACCTCCTCTGGGTTCGGTTTGAAAGCCAACTCCTCAAGTGGACCAAGGTTAGCCAACACTGGAGCGATCATCATCCCTGACTGCGGAGAAATACCAACATATAAAGCTCACTCACAACAAAAGGAAGTCCCAAATCATGGATTTTTCTCACCTTTTTGTCAAATTCAAACCAGATTCTCAGTCTGATTTAAGTCTGGACTTTGACTAGGCTATTTTAACATTTGCTTTAATCCAAGCCATGTCATTAAAGCCCAGGCTGCATATTTAACATTGTTTCCTTGATGGAAAGTGAATCTTTACACTAAAAAGTATTCTACCAGCTCTCATCCGTATTTAGCGCCACAAAGGGGAACCTTACTAGTGTTTGTTTAGCCATCCAGCTGGCTTTATTGGAGGGAGATTTCTTTCCATGATGGCTTGAAAATCTTTAAGCTGACATTCTTGAAACCTCTGCTTCACTTTTTTCTAGCTTTCTTGGTCTAATTTTTATGTTTTTATTCCCTTTTCTTCTCTAACAGACATTAAGTCATCTCTCATAACTGCTGGGTTTACAGTAGTGATGGTGAGATGAAGCCTCATGAGGCATTGAACCGTTTTGGCTAATTGCTTCAACCATCCCCACAGTTCATGAAACTTCATGTGAACATGTCACCACCTACTGGTGGAATGGAGAACTACAGTTAGTAATATAATCTGTGATTTTTGCTGTTGTTTTTCCCCCATTTAAGTTTCTTTGAAATTGTTATTGATTGGTCTGTATAATAAAATCTTTTGTAAGTTTTTTTGTGTGTGTAAAATGTCTTAGAAGAGAAATCATTTAACATACACTGTTTTTCTGCCATTTTATGGAAATAAGCTCAAGCATACAGTGAAAGCGTTTGTGCAAATTGGGCAATGATGAGAAAAATGAAAGGAGTTAGTCATTTTTATTCAAAAGTAATAGTTTTTCTACAGTTTTTGGTTTTGATTAGGTTGGAAGTTGTGTTCAACCAATCTTTTGGTTAAACTAACCAACTTTGGCAATGTTTTTACCTAATCTATATTTATACAAGGGCAAACCAATAAAAATTAGTCACATTAGCCAAAATACTTTTTAAGTTTTATGGCAACTTTCAAAAGTCTGAAGGGAGTTTTGAAACACTAACCTCAGGAATGGAAGTCAATGTCTTTAAAAGCAATAACACTTAACACTAATCTTACAACTGTAACCAGTGGTTTGCTCAGATTATGATCATTACATTGTTTAATCTAAGCAAACTAGTTTTAACCAACTAGATGCTTGTTTTTCCAACCAATCTATTCTTAGAATATATCCAAACTCTATCCAGCTGACCGCAACTCTCCTAAAAAAACTCCCCCATCTTGACTGAATACTGAGGCTGATTAAATGCCTGTCGAAGTTCCGGGAGAGTTGAACCACTTCCTGAAGCGGTCACATGGTACGGCGGGGTAGCAAGGCTTCAGATCTATTTTGGCTCCTCCCCCAAATGACATAAGCCTCGACACAAGCCTCAAAGCCTCGGCTCATCTCATAACATTACTGGTTCACAGTAATAGTTATAGATTTTGCTTTTCTGTCTCCATTACAGAACTTTATATGTAAGATTGCCTTGTGAAATTGTAAGGTATTTTTTCTCGCAAAATTTCCCAAGTGCTTTTAAACACATCAACAAATTCTTAACCTCAAAGACCGATTTTGGGTACTAGCATTACTGACCTTTTTATTGAGCTATAACACCAACCTCTGCTTTCTAATCAGGTGCTTTGGCTCTGTAATGCTTACAGCTTGTAATCAATCAGTCTGTCAAATGAAAGCTGAGGGTGATCCAATGGGTTTGAGCCATCAAACCAGCCATGTCTGAGGAAGCATTAAGCCAAAACAAAAAACAAAAGAATTCATTTTTGACGTGAGAAAAGAGAACTGTTGATGCTCACAAAGGAGGTGAAGAAAGTAAAAAGTGATCACAGAGTTTTGAAGTGTCAAGAAGTGGAGTAAGTAGCATCATCAAGACATTCAAAGAGACGCTAGAACTGCCAAAACACCCGGTAAGGACTTAAAAGTCAGGAATTATAGTGTGAAAAAAAGAAAATCTCTAGAGCTATAAACAGAAATAGACTACAAACACGCTGAGGACAACCTGAAAAAAGATTATGCAGGCTTTAGGCGAGTTCTTTGGTCAGATTAGAACAAATTAGAGCTTTTTGGCCACAGAGACTTCGTTACGTTCATAAGGCAGCCTGAAGTGAATCAAATCCGATTTTTTTTGGCCCGTATGCAACCTGGATCTGATATTTTCAACACAGATCCGATTTTTTCCAATGCAACCAAGGCCGCTTGCCTGTGTGGTCCTGAATCCGATACGAATCTGATCTTTTCAAATGTGACCTGTGTCTGAACGGCCAGGTCAAATTCATCAGAACTGAACGCCATTAATACCCGACAAAGGTCACTATTCTGCATCCTGCTATGGAGAAGCGGCAAGAAAAACAACAACCAGGGCAGACGATGATGCGGAGAGCAGTATTTATGTTTAACCTTCTTGAAAAGATTGTGTTTTTATGGTTGGGAAAGATCGCTGTGTTTACTTCCGTGAACACAGAGCACACTGGCCTGTGATGTCATTGCGTCCTCTACTGCGCATGCGGGACACTTGCGTTGTATGACTGCAGTTCACACAGAAGATCCCATACAAGTCGCATATATTTGGAAATGTGAACGGCAAAGCAAAAAAAAACTGGAATTAAGCATCAAGGCCTGCAGTGTGAACGTAGCCTTAGTTTATGCGTTGTATTTATGGGAGGCGTATAACTGGAAGAACAGAATAAAACATGGTGGTGGGAACATTATGCAACATATTAGGGGAGTGGCAGACTAATGGTAAGGGTATAGAGCTTGGAATCCTGAGGTTCTGAGTTTGAGCCCCACTCCCACAGACTGCCACTCTTGGTCCCTGAGCAAGACCCTTAACCTCCACACTGCTCCCCAGGCGCCGCACAATGGCAACCCACTGTTACCCAAGGGGATGGGTTAAATGCAGAGGTAAATTTCTCTAATGTGAGATCAATAAAGTTAAAATATTATTATTGTTATTATACTGTGGGGATGCTTTGCTGTGTTAGGCCCACCTTGTAAAGGTGGAAGGAATTAGTGGTTATGTGAATAATTTGAATTCTCCAGCAGTTAGAAGAAAAATCAGGTGACTCTTTCTGTCGACACGAGTGCGACCCAGAACCTATGCCACACCCAGAGCTACCTCCAGCCAACTAAAGTTGCTGAGTACAAAGCCCCTACCTCAAATCCTACTGAAAATCTGTGGGTGTACAGGTGACCGGCGTCGCTGCTGGAAGAACACGATAACATGCAAGAGCTTGAAAGATCTGCAAAGTGAGAATCCTCTGGAGATTTTCCAGAAACACAAACTACAAAAAAACAAGTTTGTGCTGTTAGTCAGTAAAAGAGACGCACAGCGGACTATTAGCATCAGAGAAGCTGAACATTTTGACCCCAGTAGTTTTAGTTTTTTGTCAAAATAATATCAGTTGTAAGTTTAAAGGAAGGATCCTGAATAAAGCAGATGTTTGGAAAAGCTGTGTAAAAATTCTCCACTCCATGAAAGAAATATTAAATATACTTTAAATGTCATAGGGCAGCAAAAAGGAAAAGAAAAAAGGAGAGCTTGATTAATGGAGTTACTCATGAACTCATTTACTTTCATATCTCAATGATGTGTTTCTGTGTTGTGCCTTTTTTTTTTTTTACATTAAATCCTTTTAAAGTAGCCGTTATTAGCCCGACGTAGTCCGACTCAATTCTAGTCAGAATATGAGTCTGATACTGCTCCATAGAGCTGTGATTATGGGGCGTGTTTTGAACGAAGCAGGGAAAAAAGTGCCTCTGCACTCAATTGGATAGACCTACAACCAATAAGAGCAGCGGAGTGCGTGACGTATGTTAAGCGACGCATAGTTGTTGTCCACAAAAATCAAAGCGTGCAGTTGCACGCCTATAATAAGAAGATGAGACTTGATCCCGTTTCTCTGTTCCTCTTTTAAAATTAATTTGCTGTCAATATCTTCTAGAACAGACCTAATAGCAGAATCTACACACCTAAACTCTCCAGCGGCAGCCATTATTGTTGTCACCCAAGCGCGCATTGGTCACATGGTTGATTACGTTACTGTTGGTCATCTGTCCATCATCGTATAAAGCCCGCCCTGACAATTTGATTGGATCGCCTGACAGTGGGCGATAATACTCGCGCTACTATGGAGCAGAGCCAGACCGAACTTCCCCGACCTCAAACTTTGTGGGCGGGACTAAGTTCGGAATGGCACCCAGGCTAGGCCGTTATGGCTTTAATGTGTTAGAAGGTAAAAAGATGTAATCAATGTGATAATTTTGCAATGAAGAAAATATTCAAAACTCACTTAGGATATTTTAAAAATGACTTTCAGTTATTTAAAAAGCCTTTTGTTTTTGTTTTTTATATTAAATTATAATTTCTGTGGATTTAACAAGAGTCAAATTAAAGTTAGTGTTCAAATAAGTTTAACTCACTGCGTCCCTCAGAGGTTTCATGACCCCCCAGACCCTCTCAATGGGAACAGTGACTCCCAGCTCCTCTCTGGCCTCCCGCAGTGCGGTGGCCACTACATCCCTGTCTGACGGGTCGCTCTTTCCACCGGCAAAGCTGCAAGAACAACATAAATTAGTACTCAGAATCAATAAAACATAAAGAATGCAGCTGTTTAACATGGTTGCAACTGATTTTCCAAGTCTTCCACTAACCTGACGTCTCCTTTGTGTTTGCCTTTTAGCATACAGGAGCGCAGAGTAAACAGAAATGCTGCCCCCCCCTCACTGTGGCAGAGGGAAACCAAGATGGAGGCCCACTTCCCCTTGTTCTTCCCATGAGTATGACTGGCTCCTTTTCTGATTTTGTCCATGTCGTAGAGCTTCCAATTGGCCTGCAGTATCTGTCGGCATCTGTTTTCGTTCTCAGGAGACAGGCAGTCCCTCCAGGTATCTGCCACACGAGGCGCCGCCTGATGAACAGTTCGGATTTGATGCAGGGCCAGTGTTTGACAGTGGAACTGGTTTAAGATCCAGCGTTTAGGTGCCGCCATATTGAAAGTGTTATAAGAGCTGTGTTTGCGGTGTAGACAGTTCTGGAGAAGGTTGCATCGGCTTTTACTGACGACACTAAATGTAGTCTGACACGGATCCCAAGGCCAGAAAGTGCTGTTGATTAGACGCTCCCAGAGGGTGCTGAAAAGATAAGATTCTACTTTGGTTTTGGCACAGACCTGAGGTGGGTGATCATGGCTTCTCAAAGTGGCTTTGGAGGGGAGTTTCTCACATATATGACCGCCCAGCTGATATTCTGCACCGACAGAAGACAGCTGAGCGGAACGGCATAAAGCCTTTGTGTCTTTTTCAGCCATTTGCTCACATCTCCTGTCATAAATGTGTCTTACTTCCAGCCACGCAGAGCCAAAGTGTTCAGAGAAAGCAAAAAGGTAAGGTTCTCTCAACAGCCGGGGAGACCTCAGGGGACACGCCCAGACCAGGACTCTTGGACTCCTAAACATCCTGTAAAAAAAGGCAGAAACATGCAGGTAGATCTATGATGTTAACCAGACAGACTTGAGCTCATTAGCCAAAAACACCATCAAAGATGTTCAACTGAGCCTGATGCTGCATCTTACAGAAGAGAAAAAAAACTTCATAGATTAAAAATTTTAACAATTTTAGAAAACCATAAACCACTTTACATTAGACTTCACATTTATTAATAGGGCTATCAACTCCAGGGCTCGATGTTAACCCTCGCCCGATCTCGCGGGACAAGAAGTTTTATTGTTGGTAGAGTACAAATTTCATTGCATCGCAAAAAAAAATTATTTATCACTCAAAATTATTTTAAAATCACAGAGATTCGATGAAAACGAACCAGAAACGTTAAGGCCGCCATTTTTGTTGCTTTGTACACATTCTCGCGTGATTTGAAAAAGTCGGGTGATTTTTGTCCACCTAGCTGTAATTTTGTAACCTGACAACAGCCAGATGCATGTCTCGCTCCGCCCAGCTCCTCTCACATACATCTGGGAACCCGCTCATTGAAAGTGATTTCCCCAACCGAATTTATGGTCTGTCCAATCAGGACGCAGGGCGGGTGTGTCCTGGAGTGGAGAGGCGGCCGTGAGATTCCAACAACAATGGCAGCTCGCATTGAGGAAGCAAGCGTTAGCATTGATGCTGCTATTTCTTCTGTGTTGTCCAAACTATCTGATATTGTTTCATTAAAAGAACATCAGAGAACGGCTTTGAAGGCTTTTGTTGGTGGAAACGATGTTTTTGCCCTTCTCCCGACCGGATTTGGCAAGAGCTTGATCTACCAAATGGCTCCTCCTCTCACAGCGTCACGGGTTAGCTTCGGTGTGAGTGGTTGAAATAGCACGTCAATAAAGATGACAGAGAAGTGGCTTATCCAATCATATGCAAGGAGTTTTGATAAGGCCCAGCCTTCAGTAAAGGCAATTCCTATGGCGGGTTCCCAGATGTATGTGAGTGGAGCTAGGCGGAGCGAGACATGCATCTGGCTGTTGTCAGGTTAGTAATTTCGATGTAGTTACCAAAATGACAAACAAGCTAGAAAGCGCTATTCTGCCTGTGTTTCTGTATCATTTTATTCGCATAATCACTCAAAAATCACCTACTTTCGAAGAAAACGACCCAAAAGCGTTGTCTTAATTTTTTAACCTGTCAAGCTTTTTTTTTTTGATTTTTAACATTACAATTTATATTTTACCAAGCACACAACAGTTTAAAGCAAAGTTTAGTTTGAAAAGAATGTGCAGGAAGGATTGAAAAGCATGTTAACACGGTAATGTAGGCTTGAGTTCATTATCTGACGCATGCAGATACACACCAGGAACCTGTAAACTTAAAAAATACTGAACTACAAAAAACATTTAAAAAACAAACATGTTTCATTTATATATATATATATATATATACACAAAAATGAATGTTAGGAACTATATTTATCAAACATTATACTGGGCAAGTAAAAATTGTTTCTGGGCAAATGAAATGCAAAAGTCACTTGCCCAAAGGGCAACTGGTAAAAATCCTTAACGTCAACCCCTGAACTCTCACCCATTGGGAGTGAGACTCACACATCTCTGTGTCTTCATTTACTCTCATTCCATATTCCCAATTTATCACACTAAAAAATGACAGACAACTCAACTCCATTCCACTTATTTATGTATAAAATACCATGGTGATCAAGAACCAGTCCACGTTTTTAATACAACCTTAGTGGTAACGCATGAGAACATGTCAGGTTCATATTTAGCCCGTATTCCCACCTAGTCACTGTGCCAGATATTGAACAAAGACAGTTCTTACGAGGTATGTCATTTTTATTTTTATTTTATCTCATCTGCACTAGGATAATTCTCTTTTTAAATTATTTAAGATTTTAAGCCTCTCGAACCCATAGAAGCTCCACAAAAAGAAAAAGAACCATTGCATTTTATTTTTCATAAGATCAGCCACCAAAGAAAAGACAAATCAAATCCAGAGAGGATGTGCAGAACAGCTCAGTTATCCAGGATTCATAAAGGGAGAACCACATGGATGTTCTCATTTTATTATTACTTATCTTATTAATTTATCCTTAATCTTGTTCCATTGAATATGTTAACTTAATTTCCATCACATTTTCCAAATGAAACATCCAGAGAAGTGCTGTCTCCTGTCATGGTGAGTTTTTATAAAAATCTACAGCCTCCTAGAAGGTCTTAATTGTTTAGCTGTTTTGTCAATTGTAAGAAAAACTAATAAAATAATGGAAGAAACTTTTTAATCCTTAGCCTATTATCAAATATTCATACACAGTGTAATTTGCATGGGATTTGATTGCACTGGTTCCTGTATTAGTGCCAGTAATCCAGTGATAACTTATCAGTTTCCCATTGTTTATTTTACTTAAACTGCAGATAATTGTTAATAAAAGCAAGTTGCAAAATTAGTTTAAAGTACATTTAAAATGCAAGTATTTCAAGTAGGGCCTATTCTGCTTTACTTCAATTCTCTAAAAATTACCAAAATAGGGAAAATAATATACAGGTGCTGGTCATAAAATTAGAATATCATGAAAAAGTAGATTGATTTCAGTAATTCCATTTAAAAAGTGAAACTTGTATATTATATTCATACATTACATACAAACTCATATATTTCAGATGTTTATTTTGTTTAATTTTGATGATTACAAATGACAACAAATGAAAATCTCAAATTCATCATATCAGAAAATTAGAATATTGTGAAAAGGTTCAAAATTGATGGCCCCTGGTGCCACACTCTAATCAGCTAATTAACTCAAACCACCTGCAAAAGCCTTTAAATGGTCTTTCAGTCTAGTTCTATAGGCTACACAATCATGGGGAAGACTGCTGACTTGACAGTTGTCCAAAAGACGACCATCGACACCTTGCACAAGGAGGGCAAGACACAAAAGGTCATCGCTAAAGAGGCTGGCTGTTCACAGAGCTCAGTGTCCAAGCACATTAATAGAGAGGCGAAGGGAAGGAAAAGATGTGGTCGAAAAAAGTGTACAAGCAAGAGAGATAACCGCACCCTGGAGAGGATTGTGAAACAAAACCCATTCAAAAATGTGGGGGAGATTCACAAAGAGTGGACTGCAGCTGGAGTGAGTGCTTCAAGAACCACCACACACAGACGTATGAAAGACATGGGTTTCTGCTGTCGCATTCCTTGTGTCAAGCCACTCTTGAACCACAGACAGCGTCAGATGCGTCTTGCCTGGGCTAAAGAGAAACAGGACTGGACTGCTGGTGAGTGGTCCAAAGTCATGTTCTCTGATGAAAGTAAATTTTGCATTTCCTTTGGAAATCAAGGTCCCAGAGTCTGGAGGAAAAGAAGAGAGGCACTTCATCCACGTTGCTTGAAGTCCAGTGTAAAGTTTCCACAGTCAGTGATGGTTTGGGGTGCCATGTCATCTGCTGGTGTTGGTCTATTGTGTTTTCTGAGGTCCAGGGTCAACGCAGCCACATACCAGGAAGTTTTAGAGCACTTCATGCTTCCTGCAGCTGACCAACTTTTTGGAGATGCAGATTTCATTTTCCAACAGGACTTGGCACCTGCACACAGTGCCAAAGCTACCAGTACCTGGTTGAAGGACCATGGTATCCCTGTTCTTAATTGGCCAGCAAACTCTCCTGACCTTAACCCCATAGAAAATCTATGGGGTATTGTGAAGAAGAAGATGCAATACACCAGACCCAACAATTCAGAAGAGCTAAAAGCCACTATTAGAGCAACCTGGGCTATCATAACACCTGAGCAGTGCCACAGACTGATCGACTCCATGCCACGCCGCATTGCTGCAGTAATACAGGCCAAAGGAGGCCCAACTAAATACTGAGTGCTGTACATGCTCATACTTTTCATGTTCATACTTTTCAGTTGGCCAACATTTCTATAAATCCTTTGTTTTTATTGGTCTTCAGTAATATTCTAATTTTCTGATATGATGAATTTGAGATTTTCATTTGTTGTCATTTGTAATCATCAAAATTAAACAAAATAAACATCTGAAATATATGAGTTTGTATGTAATGTATGAATATAATATACAAGTTTCACTTTTTAAATGGAATTACTGAAATCAATCTACTTTTTCATGATATTCTAATTTTATGACCAGCACCTGTATATTGTGGGGAAAATGTTCCACATAACTACAGATCACTTATTGTTACGCAGTAATATTTGCTGTGCTATTAAAAAAAAATCCCACATTCTGACTATTTGTTTCAGTTAAATCCTCTGAAAACCTCCAACCTTTCTGCACATATATCCTCATCTAACCCTGACAGGGTTTCCTGTCCAAACTATTTCAAAATCTGACCCCGAGATTTGCTGAAAAGTTGGCAGCCTTGTATAAAACATTTAAAAACACATTAGAAATCACAAAAGAAAAGGACTTTTAGTTGGGTTTTTTTTTTAAAGAAAAAACACTTTTAAAACAATATATTAAAACACATATTTCTAGAAGCTAAGTTTTTGCACAAAGTCAAACTTCCCCGGCTACCTGAGTTCATTTAATGTGTTTTACTCCATCTTCAGGTAGTTATTTACCCAACATTAATCCACACAAAAAAACCCACAAAATAATCAATATCCTCTTTGTTTGACGAGCTTCCATGCAAATCAACCCAAACTAGCAAAACATTAGCAACACTTAAAGCTAGCATGCTAATGGAAACATTAGCAGAGCTCATATTTGTGTTTTTCCAAACTGCAAAAACTCAGCGTGTCTCACTAAATTCGAATATTTGTCAATGGAATATTTACTACAACAAAACATAACCTAAGAGTAGATTATTTTTTTTCTCATAGAGGGGAGAAAATCAATAATACCTGGTCAATCGTCGCGGTACCCGGCTAACTGCTTTGGGGTCCGCTGCTTTGTCTCATGACGGCGCCACACTGGGGAGGAGGAATGGCTTTTGGGGAGGGAGGGGTAAATGCTCAACTAGTTATACTCAGATTTCTTTAGAGTCAAAACATGCTTACAAGGTTAATATGCAATAAATAAATAAATAAATAAATAAAATAAAAAATAGAAATGAAATCAAACAAAACGGAAATCAGTTTCACACAAGCCTGGCTGTTTAAAAAGTTGAATAGCACCAAACGCCTTGATCAAGAGCTCAGATCTCACATTATCTACCCTTGACTGCAATATGGGCCCCTCTAGTAAGGGGCCCGGGTGCCCCTGTTAAATGAACCCTGGCCTATTTTGAAAACATACAGTGCAAAGTTTTAATATGTCATTTTTTCTTGTGATACGTGTATTTTTCCTTGATTTAAGCAGATAGATGAGAGAATTTCCTCTGTGTATACAAAATGCCAATAAAAGTTTGTCTCTAAAAAAAATCTGCCAATAGAATAAGAATAAGGTTTAAATAACGGGAAATAAATAACTCCATTATGTCTTTTCAAATGCATAACGTCTTTAGTCTTATTTTAAGGGGGGAAATATTAATTTATTTGGCAGATCATTTATTACCTGCTAAAATGAAGAGATAAATAACACTTATTTAAATAGCAATTTTAGTTAGTTTTAGTCTAACGCTAAATCAATTTCTTATAATGACTTTAATTTTAGAATTCTGACTTTTTTCCTCAGAATTCTGATTTTAATCTCAGAAATTTGGATCTTAATGTAGATGGGCACTGTGAAGGAAGAGATGTGGGAGCACTCAGCTTCACTGACAAAGATGTGAGTTGTTTGGGGGGCTAGTAACACATTGGTAGAAAATTATGGAATTAGATAACTTTTTACGCGCAGAGGGGTCCCGGTGATGCTGTTTCATTAATGGAAGAGCAGAAGGTGATTAAAGCAAGAGAGTTAGTTTAGTCTCTAAAAGAGACATGGCTGCGGCTTGGTGCTAACATGTTTGTCAGCTGTCAGAATTCAGTCAGAATTCTGAGAAAAAAAGTCTGAATTCCGAGATTAAAGTCAGAATTCTGAGATTAAAGTCAGTATTCTAAAAATTTAGTCAGAATTCTGAGAAAAAATGTCAGAATTCTAAGATTAAAGTCAGAATTCTGAGATTAAAGTCAGTATTCTGAGAATTTAGTCAGAATTCTGAGATTAAAGTCAGTATTCTGAGAATTTAGTCAGAATTCTGAGATTAAAGTCAGTATTCTGAGAATTTAGTCAGAATTCTGAGATTAAAGTCAGTATTCTGAGAATTTAGTCAGAATTCTGAGAATTCAGTCAGAATTCTGAGAAAAAAATGTCAGAATTCTAAGATTAAAGTCAGAATTCTGAGATTAAAGCCAGTATTCTGAGAATTTAGTCAGAATTCTGAGATTAAAGTCAGTATTCTGAGAATTTAGTCAGAATTCTGAGAATAATGTCAGAATTCTGAGGAAAAAAGTCAGAATTCCGAGATTAAAGTCAGAATTCTGACTTTTTTCCCGTATCATACTGAAGTAAAATGTAAAAATTAGTTAACCTTTTTTATTTTTTCAGTGGCCCTAATCCTCTTCCGTAATAACTGGCTAGACAGGTACACACACACACACACCATATTCATGAACTCTCTACACAGCCTACTGCGAAATACGCATAATCTAAACGTTATAAAATTATTTAACTAAATCATCTTCATACAAACTGATCAGATTTCTACAGGGTATTTGGCTTTATTCGGTCCTGTTGCTATTTGTTTTTCTGTTTTGTCTTCTTTGGACAAAAACCTTTCAATAGTTTGCAATGGTGTGAAAATGATGCGGACCCAAATTGATTGCGTCACTTGCGTTGGTCCCGCCCTTGCGTTAGCCCTCAGCTGACGTCAACGTCCCTCACATTAACTTGTTTTTCTCCTTTTTTATCAAACAGGGGCTGGGTTAGTAGTAGAAGAGAAAATGTTAATAATCAGCGATTAAATCCTTGCTGATGATGTCATTGTTCCTCAGGGCCGAAAAACCTGTTTGTCAGTTTCTTTCCAAAAACTGCTCTTCATTATAATCATTTTTAAAAACATAATATAACCTACAGTGAGTTTAATCTGTAAAATATTTATCATATTTAGTTTGTGTTGTTCATTTTAAAATAAAATTTAGTTAAATTTACAAATAATTGAAAAACACCAGTGACATAATTGGAAGAAACTCCTCACCACACCTGTTTCACAAGCTCCACCCCAAACCTGCTTAAGTATTTCAGTTGCATGTGATTCAAGTCAACTGCCACCTCTAAACCTAAACCTCTTGCTGTCTATACTCGTTTTGTTTTAAGCGTTGCTTTTTGTTAACTGTAGCTTTAATTGCGAGGGATCCATACTTTCAAGACCTCAAGAATCATCATGGCCTCAACTTGGCCCGAAGAGGAAAGCTTTGCCTGCTCTGTATGCCTGGAGACCCTAAAAGACCCCATTACCTTAACATGCGGACACTCTTACTGCTTGAACTGCATCGAAAACCACTGGGACAAGGAAGATGGCAAAGGTCAATACAGCTGCCCTCAATGCAGGCAGCTCTTTGCTCCTCGGCCAAGCGTGGCCAAAAACACTCTGCTTGAACAGGCCATGGAGAAACTAAGAACCAACAGCTTGAAGCAAAACCATGCGGTGGGCATCTATTCATCTGAACCAGCACTGCCCTTCTACTTAGACTTATCAGATGTTGGGTCTAGAAAGGGGAGCGTTTACCCACAGCTGCCTTCGATGGAACCCAGACCCTGCCCTAAACACAAGCAACCACTGGATCTGTTCTGCCATGAAGATAAGGAGTGTGTGTGCGTGATGTGTTGCCAACAGGGACACCCTGGACATCACGTGGTTAGACCACAAGTAGAGAGAAGAGACAAACAGGTACGTAAGTGGAAAATGTAACTCCCGTCTTGGTGAAGGGTTTGGTGTGCTTTATGTTTATTGGATGAGTAGAATAAACACTGAATGACGAACTAACATTGTCTTTTTGTTCTGATGTGATGCCACCACCATGGCTTTATTTTCTTTGCTCTATCTGTCTAGAAAGAGCTTGTTCAGATGCAATCAGAGGTACAGAGGAGAATCCAAGAAACTGAGCGGAAGATCATGGAGGTCCCTCATACGGCTCGTCAACAAAAGGTTTGAACTTCCTATATTCTAGTTCTCCTTTTTGTGTATTTTATTTATCAGACATTTATACGTTTTGTGTCTTTTTCAGGCTTTGCTGCAGGCCCTTCAAAGGGAGAGTTCTGACTTATTTCCTGAACTGGGGAAGAGTGTAGATCTCACAGGGACGCAGGTTGGTGAGCTGCTGAGAGCCCATGAGGCCGTCTTCGATGGTCGCGTTGAGGGACTGGTCAAGAGTTTAGAACAAGATGTAGCACAGCTCCATCACAGGAGCGAAGAGCTAAACAGACTGGCCTACATGCAGGATAACATCAGCTTCTTGAAGGTAAAGCAGGATGTTCATTTTCAGTTTTTTTTTAAATGAAATAAATGGGTTGCTGTTGATTTACTTCCTGAATCTTTGCAACATTTTTCTCTGAAGAATTTCTTCCTCATTGAGCCGTTGGGTCAGACTGGAGGCCCGGGACAGTTTGGGATAAGTCAGGAGGAAGCTGTCGCCTCCATTCGGTCGGTCATTAAAGATTTGCAAGAATCGGTACAAGAACTCTGCGAAGACAGTTTGGCCAAGATTGTCAAAATAGGTCAGATTCTCTTTCCTCTTCCTCATTGTTTTTCTTTATTTCCTGTCCTCAAGAACAGTGGTTTTCAAAGTGATGGCCGCCAGGGGGCACTAGAGGGGCCTAAAAATAGTTTAAACATGAGAATTTCAAGCCAATAGTGTTATTGGAATCAGGACAAGACCTTCATACTTATTACCTTTGTAACATTTAATCAAATGTGGATATTTTGAGCGAAAAAAAAACTAATTTCAATGTAGTACCAACATAAACCAACTTGCCCGAACATATCAAGAAACATAAAATTAAAATAAAAGCACTTTTATTTTTTTACTAAATAAAAAAAATAAAATTGCTTCTATAAGAAATTCATGAAAAACGCTCTAAGAGTGAAAGAAAAACATTTTTTGTGGCACAACATTACCTTAGAGGCATTAATGCTGATACTGGCACTTACATCTTTTAGTTTATAAACCTAAATATATTTGTTAATTAGGCTTATTAACTTTTTAGCTTTACCTTTTAACTTTTTAATTAGCTTTTTACCTTTTTTGAGTTAACTTTTTTTTCCAGATTGTTTTATAATAGGTAATATATCATTCAAGGGCTCATCTAATTGGTCAAATGTCGTAATAAGATGTACAGCCATGTAGCAGTATCTTTGCTGAATGGCTGGATATAGATCTTGTGCTTCTAGACCTCACTGAGGGACGGAGGGGGGGTCCATTTGTAAGGGGTATGCAAGTGATCAAAAACACTAACTTGCCCTATAAATGGCTAAAATCAATATTGAGGCAAACTATATCAGAGGACTATTCTCGTCTTGGCTGACAGGATATTGAAATGCCTTTTCCCTTTTGCAATAACTTGCTTATGCTAGTCTGGCTTTTTGAACTTTTAAAAATACTCCAAATAAAACGTCATAGCTGGGTTTAATGTCGGTATGGTACCGACAGACACTGAGCCCAACTCTCCAACTTCACACACTTATTTTTTTTTTTTTTTTTTGCTTTTTGGTATCCATTTAAATATTTTTGTATTTAAATAACGGCGTTGAATAAAATGTTAATATGCTTGTGCTAAACAAACAATTGAACATGCTTGTAGCATTGTCTAATGGTGTCGGGAGGGAAGCCCTGCTCAGGAAAGCTAAAACATTGTTCTCTTTGTAGTGAGTCATGAACCTGTGGCTGCAACACCCAACGGTGTGGCTGTTAAAACAGAAACCACAGTCCCCACTGATCATTCTGGTCAGGCCACTACACAGGATTCAGGTTTGGAAACCTCTCCTCTTGCAGCGCCACACAAAATATGCTTAAG